TTTTTGCATGAATACCTTGACAAGTAAAATCCGCCTACGTTGCAAAATTTGCAATAAAATTCAATCATTCATTATGTAAAGTAATAGTACATTACAAGCGAGGTGGTAAATATGGCATTACCCCGAGTGCTTATGTATACGATCAAGAGGCGCCAGCCTCGAAATCGGATAAAACACAAGGGGGTAATGCCATTACCACCGAGGTTTGTATGCGATTTTATTCACAATCACATTATTTTCAGTTAAAAATTTGAGCAAAATAAAATTTTAACAAAGTTAAAATTAGGCCATCCAAATGGCGTTTGATTTTTGACATTTCAGAAATGTCAAAGAAAATATTGAAATAATGTGTGAATCTAACTTAAAATCGTCGAAATGGGACAGTGTATTCCCCCTGAAGTAAGAGAAACAGCTACAAATGCAATTGAATACTAATTTAGCAAAATATTATGCGTAACTTGACAATTTGAAAGAAAAAATTCCAGGTATTTTTGTAATTTTAAGGTTGGCAATCCTGCATATTACCACCCAAGAGAAGTCATATTATTACTCCTCATGAGATTTAATGATGTGTTTCCCAACCTTTAAAAGGTTAGTAATCGGCATATTACATTAGTGATTGTGAATAAAATGCAATAAAATTCAAAAATTTAAATTGTTTTCTGAGTGCATTATGTAAAGTAAAATGTAATAAATAATGGTGTCCCATATTTTTTATGCCAATTATTATTGTTTCGAGCAAAAAAACATAGGTGTTCCATTTGAAAAACTAAATTTGGTAGCATTTCCGGCTACACCGGATGTGCCAAAAAAATTTGATGCATTTACTAAGAAAACGAGGAATGAATAGTATTATTTGAAAATTTAGTTTTTGAAAAAAAAAGTAAGTTTAGGTGTTATCGGCCGGGGCGACTTGAACCTGTATATGTATGTATTAAAATGAGTACCTGTATGATTGGTCAAAATTTCTTTCCATTTTAAATTTAATTCAAAATTTGCCGGCAAGGAATGGTTGACAATATTTTACGCAACATATTCTTTTGCGAGGCATTGTAATGCTTGAAATGCAAAATTCAAATTTTCAACTCAAATTTCAAATAATTTACGACGTTTGGCGCGTAATTTGGTAACTATGGGAACAAGAAAAGTCTTCAGAAGAAACTAACAGATGGCGATACATTAGAGTATGGTGTCAGAACTACTTTTTTCCCACCAGCAGCCGGGTGAAGGGAAACTTCCTTCATTAATCAAGGAAGCTGTGGTCAAAATTTATGGAAATTTTTGTTACATGAATCCACAGAATAGTGCATTACGACACGTGTTTTATAAGAAGCGCAGCGAGGAGTGTTATAAAGCAGTGAGTGCGACAATAGTACATTATATTATAAGTGATAGAAATGCATCATTATGCGCGAGTGAGAATTTTGACCGACGAGTGCGCTTGCGCACGAATGGGACACTTCTCACGAGTTTTATAATTGCATTTCGATCACGTGTGATATACGACGTTTTATCTTACAGGTGCAACTATCCAAAAAATGAAGTTTCATTCAAGTAAAATATTCACATATAAAAATATAATAGTAAATATAATAGAAAAAAATAATATAGTAGTCAAATTTACTCACTTGTGAGTACTTTATCTCACTTGTGAATAATATTTGATTTCTATCACCTAAAACAATGGTCTAAGGTACCTCAAAAACTCAACCTGTAAGATAAAATGCCTTATATATCAAACAGTATTTTTTCTACTTTGCACTTTTTTAAACAAAAAAATTAAAGTTTTGACATGTAAGGAATTTTGCGGCATTTGACAAATTGCGCAGTGGCTAGGTGGCCATGAAATAAATTAATTTGAAACGTCGTTCTTTATTCGTAAAGTGAATTCCCAAGGTGTCGAAGACGTTTTGCAATATACGCCTCTAGAAAAACGAACCTTCTTAACGACAAATACGATAAACAACTTACTCTCGGTGAGAATTGTTCAGTAAGTTGATGGCAAAACCTATTTTGCCTAACCCCAAAAGTTTCAGTAGCAGTGAGTACCTTCTATTTTACTTTGCCGTATGACCTAAAGGTATGCGTAATGTTAATTCTGAATACTTTTTGCAATGTTTAATTAAGCCAAACACAGCAAAAATTTCGTATTTAAATAACTTGATTTGCGTTAGGCCGATTGACACTGACAGTTCGAAAGAGAAACGGTAAGATCGCCAACATTATAAAACTAAATTCCACTCTTTTTAGTAGAATTTATATAAAGATTTGTCAACAAGAAATTACCACCTATACTTCATTTCACGACCAGATATAGTAATAAAAACGCCCACTTGCACCCGCGCTGTTTGAATAACGGCTTATTATTGGTCACTTAGACCATATATTAGATAGACTAGACATACTCTGATTTGTTGTGAAGCCAACATGTGCAGGTGGGGCAAGGGGAAATCACTAATGGTACGCGAATTTGACCTCTTAGAGACTCTTTCTCTGATTGGTTCATTCATAATATGTGAACCACCAGTGGCGTCGTAATGTATTCTAATATTCCCATATTACATTGAATATTTTTTTATATTGTAACTCGAGCGATATGATTGTAGATTGTTAAGTGATCACACCAAAAGAGTCAAGTAGTTTGAAAATCTCGAAATACCACTAGTTTTTTCAAGAAACATTATTTATGAAACTTATAATATTTTTCATTTTCTGCCCCTTGGCTACGAGCCGCCACTGAACAAGAAGTAAGGAAGAGTAAGCATCCTCTTGCCCCTCACTCCTCTTGTCCATACATGTTGGCTTCAAACAAACTGCCTACAAACTCGCTTGATGCCCAGTCTATCTAATATATGGTCGAAGATTGGTCAAAATCTGTAAGTTTGTTTCACACCAAAACAGCGTGTGCCTGTCAAATTGATAAGTGTTTCCATGATGCTACGGTTGGCAGCACTTACTTCGTTCTATGCCACGCGTCGTTTCATGTTGGTTGCTGTTTTTGTTTTCTTTATCCTCTGTTGATCGTAAGTGAATTTATAAGCAGTCTTTTTTAAGACTCTACTTTGTTGTGAATATCTAATAGGTACGTACAGCGAGTGCTGTGTAAAACCGACTTTTGCGTAAATTGTTAGTGCGCAACAGAATCCCCTCCGCGTCGTTTATTACTATATCTGTTGGTGAAATGAAGTATAGGATTTGAATTTCTAGGAAAACTACGTTTTTCATGTTGTTTGTAACTAGAATTTTCAGAAGTAATTTTGAATGCCTAAGGTTGGTTACCTTCGACCATATAGTAGATAGACCAGGCATCTCTGATTTGTTGTGAAGCCAACATGTGTAGGTGGGGCAAGAGGAAATGACTAATGGTACGCGAATTTGACCCTTAGAGAACTCCTTCTCTGATTGGTTCATTCATAATATGTGAACCACCAGTGGCCTCGTAATGTATTCTATTATTCCAATATTACATTGAATATTTTTTTTTTATATTGTAACTCGGGCGATATGATTGTAGATTGTTAAGTGATCACACCAAAAGAGTCAAGTAGTTTGAAAATCTCGAAATACCACCAGTTTTAACAAGAAACATTATTTATGAAACTTATAATATTTTTCATTTTCTGCCCCTTGCCTACGAACCGCCACTGAACAAGGAGTAAGGAAGAGTAAGCATCCTCTTGTCCCTCACTCCTCTTGTCCATACATGTTGGCTTCAAACAAACTGTCTACAAACTCGCTGGATGGCGTGTCTATCTAATATATGGTCGAAGTTGGTTACCCGTTATTGTTGACGGTTGACGTTTTCTGTCAACCTGCTGTCAACTATTCTATACAAACTGACAGGTGACTTAACCTAAATTTTTGACACTAGTTACGATATCTTTTGTTTGTCACTAAAAACCAACCTAACTAAATCTATGGCAACCTATTCACGAATATCCTAGGGAGTAATTTATTGTTGATACGATAATAGCACTGTTTTTCTTCAGTACGATACGCAAAACGGTTTTGTAGTGGCCTCCCTTAATTTTAATTTGTTTGCTCTCTATTTACCGACTGGTAATAACGTTTATTTAGATGACATTGCATTTCTTGATAGATAGATTGATCTCTTGATGTGAGATTACCAAGGTAACATTATCTTTATAAAAAACATATATTTTATTATGTAAACGAAATGTAATTGTAAATAAAATAACATAGAAACCTCGATAGGAATTCATAACACATTCATGCTCTATCTAGCCTTGAGGCACTGCCTTTCGGTCAGGTCAGAGCCCTCGGGGTAATGAAATGTTCTATCTGGGTTGTAATATCCAGGATGCGCCAGAACTCACGCCCCAGAGAAAAATTTTAAGTAGGATATGATACCAGGAACATGCAAAAAAATGTTTAAAAAATTCTATCTGTCAAAAAATTTTGACATTTATCTTTTGACATTTCACATTTTTTATGTCTATTTAATGATACTGATGATCTTGTATATGTTTTTCTATAATTATTTAGTAAAAGTACAAAAATTTTGATAATAAAAACCACAAATAACATTTAACAAAGATATAATTTAGGATACAGCTTCCTTGTTTCCTTTTCTGTGTCCAAAGTGTCTACATGTCTTTTTAAGAAGAAACTTAAGGAATTTTTAATTGAAAACTGTTTATATAATATTGAGGACTATTTTCACTGTAATTTTAACCTGTAAGTTAAATATTTTATGTATTATTTGACCTGTGTATGACACGTTGTCTTAAACATCAATAAATCTATTTCTATTTCTATTTCTAATAGTTTGTAGCAAAAAAATTTGTAAAAGTATTTTTCCAGCAGAAATAAATAGAGTCAAAGTGCAAAATTTAAACTCTCAAAACTTCGACATTTTTATAGATAAAATTTTTTTCACATTTTTTCCATGTTCCTAGTATCTTACCTTACATGGCATTTTTCTCTGGGGCGCGAGTTCTGGTGCACCCTGTATACTATTTATTTAGTGTTTTACTTACCTCCCCATTACAGAAGCAAAACAGGATAGCCACACAAAGACCCTGCAACAAATCAGATAATGATTTAAAAAAATTCCACAATTATTTAAATTAAAAACTGCCCATAAAGAATTATCTTTTTTTTAATTTTTGATAAAAAATTCATTTTTAAGCATTGTGTTAAGATGTATAATGAACGACATGTTAGAAAAGAGCATAATATTTCATTTCTCCGGAAATTACATCAATTATGTAATAGGAAGTCCAGTTATGTGAACGGCTGATAACATTGGAAATACAATAGCTACAGACAAAACACTGTAGTTAAAAGGGTTTGATAATTAATTCCTGTAATACAATGATGAGTGTGAATAAACACACTGTGCTAATTTATTGTAAACTCATTTTAATTACTTTTTTCTACAGTTGCTACAAAAAATGTGTTAAAAAACACTGCTATACTGCGTTTCAAAATGATTGACATTTCGGTAGGTCATGGAAATTCAGGGGCGTCATTACGGGAGGACTAAAATTACCCCATCTAATTTTATTTAAATTAATGTTTGCTGTTATTTTTATATTGTTTAAATGAATTATTTATATGCAGTAGTAACATATGTGTTAAAATGATTATCCCGCGTTATATTTAGATATTAATTTTAAAAGCTTACTCGTGTGCTAATCAATTAACTTATTGAATTTAAGATCAACAATGCCAGGACAATCTTTACCTTATCTCACTCAAAGAGAACGAGAAGCAGATTGTGGTTGTAACAAGGATTTTTTTAAAAATTCTAATAATTCCAATAAAAAGAAATAATGTTTGTAAATTTATTAAAAAAAAAATTAACTTTACATTCCACTGCTAGTTTTTTGCTTACCTTGCTTCCCTTCATTAGAGATATCACATTCATTTAGTAAATGTCCAACTGTCGCACTCTCCTTTCCACACATTTTACACCTCTCTTCGGGTTCCAATTAATACTTACACTCTCCCAATTTGTATATCCTTTACTATTCTGTGTGCACATCAGAATTTTGCTATTATTCTCTTATAGATACTATCTATTTCTAAAACATGATAGCTCCAACGTTCTCAACCCGTGTATGTACATTACACGCGAGGTGGTAAATATGGTATTACCCCGAGTGCTTATGTATAAAGCACAAGGGGTAATGCCATCACCACCGAAGTTTGTATGCTTTTTATTTACAATCACATTATTTTCAGTCAAAAATTTGAGTAAAATAAAATTCTAACAAAGTTAAGGTCCAAACGTGGTAGGCCGTCCATATGGCGTTTGATTTTTGACATTTCAGAAATGTCAAAGAAAATATTGAAATAATGTGTGAATCTGATTTAAAATCGTCGAAATAGAGCAGTGTGTTCCTCCAGAAGTAAGAGAAACTGCTACAAAAGCAAAAGAATACTAATTTAGCAAAATATTATGCGTAACTTGACAATTTAAAAGATTAAATTCCCGGTATTTTTGTAATTTTAAGGTTGGCTATCCTGCATATTACCGCCCAAGAGAAGTAATATTAGGTAGTATTTATCACGAGATTTAATGATGTGTTTCCCAACCTTTTAGTAATCGGCATATTACATTAGTGAGTGTGAATAAAAAATAATTAACTATCTCTCTCGCAAAAAATATGACAATTGTTTTTAGAGAGGGGGACCACGGAACAATTTTGTTAGACACTATAGCAAAAAATATCAAACTTTAGACAATAAAACGATGATGAAAAATGAAAATTCAGTCCAACCTTTACTACAACGGACAGGTGATTTTTGTTAATTAATATTATTTGAGCCAAAAATCCATAAAAATGAAAAGTTGAAAAAAAAATAACCAAAGTCCTTAGGACTTCTGACAGTTGTTAACATTTCGCGTCAATGTGGTTCATACAAATCAAACGAAAACGATAGAAAAACGAAAGGAAACGTTACTGGTGATTTAAAAAAGGCAAAAGGGTGACGTAATTAGTATTTGTGCAAAGGTTGGTTTTGTTTGCGATGATTTGACGGCACAACGTGCCGCCGACCAAAATATCGTCGTCTTTATAAAAAACCGTCCCGAAAGATAAAAAACTAGATGGTAAGTCGTGAAGTGTTGTTTAGCACACAAGAGTGCCTTATTTTATTAAGAATTTTGGCGAAGAAATGTCTAAATTAAGGTTATTCTGACATTGTGAGATGACGGAAATAATGCACAAAACGTAGGTTAAAAACGATGTAAATTTGTACACTGGTCGACTTGAATTAGTCAGGTAGTGATTTGTGAAGTGTTGTTTAAGACTTTAAGAGCCCAATATAAAAGAAATTTGGTCAAAGAATGTTGAATTTGAGGTTATGACATGATTTTATTATTTCTATTGACGTAACAAATAGAGATGTACTCAGTGAACTAATAAAAATAGATTTCCAGTTTATTATCAAAATTGTAAAAATTCAATAATTCAAAAATTGAACTGAATTAAGTATATCATATCAGAAAGTATGAGGTTTAGAAGGAGACAAAATAAATTTTTAAATATAAATTTTGACAAAATCCCATAGTGTGAGTTTTCATTAATTATATAAACTATTTGCAAATCAGATAGTGTGAAGTTTAGAAAGGGGCGAGCGGCAAAGCCGCGAGTTCCCTTTAAAAAATTTAACAAAATCTGACAATGTGTGTAAACTTTGACAAAATCTGATAGTCTCCCTCACTATCTTTTGCAACGCGATGTTTTAAAAAAGTCTCGACTAACATTTTTTTTTAACTTAAGCATTTCTTCAAGAAATTTTTAAATATTATTTTGCAAGTCTAGAAATTTTTTAAGCCGGTATTTCTTAACATTTTCTTCGTCTCCCCAACTGTCTTTTGTAACACGATATTTTGTAAAGTCTCAATTTACATTTTTTTAATTTCTATTTGAGGAATTTTTAAACGTTTTCTTTGCAATTCTAAATGTTGTTTAAACCGGTATTTCTAGACACTTCCTTAGTCTCAGTCTCGATTGACATTTTTTTAATTTAAGCACATCTTTAAGAAATTTTTAAATATTTTTTTGCATGTCTAGAAATCTTTTAATCCAGTACATCTGACGCTTTCTTAGTCTCATCAACAGTCTTTTGTAGCTCGATGTTTTAAAAAGTTTCGAATGACACTTTAGTAAATAAAAATAAAACTCTCAAATTAATCAAATCCGACAGGATTTGACCACATTGACTAGTTTCACATTCTCGTTTTATACGTATCTCAGCACATTCTTCTCTTTATACAGGCTGTCCCAGAGCTCCATATTTCTTCGATTACTTTGGCAGTAAAGAAGATAACGAAATGCGGTTTCTTTTGGACGATAGACATTTATTTTTTCTGTGGTCCAAAAATATTTTCGTCATTATAGGTAGTTCCTATATAGGGTGGCGCAACAAAATTATATTTTTTTCTTATAGAACACCCGCTATATTATGCGCTTATTTGAGAGAGTTTTTAATACTAAGAAGATCCATATTAGGTTTTATGTTTATCATGGACCGTTTATCATTTATGAGCAATTTTATGAAAAAAAAAAGTATATTTTTGAGAAAAATCACAACAGCTTTGCTAGAAAGCAAAAGTGAATAAAAACAATTGCAACCATTTTTACTGAGTCTGGTCCTAAATTATTACGAGGGTAAAAAAATCTTTCGCAACTACTGCAGAGTGCATACATAATTCTATTTTCTCGAACAACTTAGATTGATGTATGGTGGATAAGGTGACTTTAAAAAATTATTATTTTTAGAAAGAAACGCAAACCTACTTGATTTTTAAAGCTAAAGAAAATGTAGAATTATACAGGGTGTTTGAGGATTACGAGCAAATATTTTAACCACTAATAGGACTCGTCAAAAGAAACAACTTTCGTTATTCCAACTTTTGTCGAAAACACGTCATTTCTGAGTTAAAATGAAAAATAAATTGAGGCTGAAAACCCGTCTCCGCCTATGTCTTAATACGATGTTTACAATCATTCATAAGAAAAAAATTTGGAACGTAAACAGCTTAAAGACAAAAAAAATATCGCTACATTAGGGTAGATCAGTGTTAATGTTAGTGGGTCAATACTTGCTATTATAAAAAATTGCTCGAAATGTGGTCATTCGTTGACAATGCACACTTCTTGTACTCTTCGGGCTTGTTTTTTGACATTTGACATTTTTTTATGTCTATTTAATAATACTGATGATTTTGTATATGTTTTTTTTTACAATTATTTAGTAAAGGTACAAAACTTATGCCAATAAAAGCCACAAATAACCTTTAGTCCGGGCAAATTAGCTTAAAAAATAGGGGTCAGGTTACAATAATTCGCATAAAACTGTAAATTGGTACGAATGTTGGGAACTCCATTATAAAAGAAATGTGAAAAGTCCCCATCGATCCCCCATCTGCAAAAAAAGTTATTCAAGGTCAAATGTTGCGAAAATGGGTTTTTGCATTTTTCAGCCAAACGGTAAGTTTTATCATAAAAATACATCAGACAAAAATTGTAGAGCATGCAATTCTCTATAAAAATTGTACTTATACTTTTTTTCCTAAGAGTTACCATTTCTGAGATATAGCGATTTAAAAAGTTGTGTTCTTCATAATATGCACACGTTTCCACGCCACCTGTGAGGTAGTGTACTTGGCGCGTTTTTCAATGTAGTTTCCCCGGTAGGCCTATTCCCCGATCTATTGAGGTTCTGTTTAATTAAAAAATATTGTATCAAATGACAAATGGTACTATTGGAGATGATAAAAGCGATGTAAATTATGAGTAATATAGAGGAAAATTATTCGCTGATTGATAGTTATCTGATGGTATTTCAAGTTTACTGTCTTCTTCGTCTTCTTCTTTTATTTATTCTTCGTCTTCTGCTTCTTTTTCTTCTTCTTGTTCTTCTTCAACTTCCCTGGGTACAAATAAATTGTTCTAAAAGCGATGACTCAGATGTCTCTTCGCAGATATCGTAAGCATCTTCTCCTAATAACGACTCAACATTGGAGCATGATTGGCCTTGACAACTGGTACATGCTAATGAACAA